GGCCCTCTTTCCTGCCTGTGCAGGGGGTCGGACTCGATGATCTATTGAGGTCCCTTCCGACCCTAACATCTATGAATCTATGAAAACAGGCTGAAACACCTGCAAAATGAAATAGCTGCCAAAGTTTCGCACAGTCCTACCTTCTGCTTTAGATGTTATGTCTTCAGCTGTCATGGGAAGAAATATCACAATTCTCCCACATTAAACCCAAGTCCAGCCCTATAGCTCCATGTGTACCAACTATGACCTATTCCCTTTGGGAGCTGTGCCTAGTGTGTTGGTATACTGACTCAAAACAACTTTTCACTGCAAAGTACTCTCTAATCTTAACAAGAGAGAAGACTTTTAAATATATTAAAATACCTACTTGTACATTTGTCTTACCTAAAGTTCTGGGTGGGCCTAGCTTATCCCATACCTCTGAAGACTCTTTTTGGGGTGGTGTTTTTATACCTGTCTTTTTCTTATGTTTTTTCCACCTGAATCACTCCAACTGGATTCCAAGTCAGATTGCTGAGCTAAGCATGGTTGTGGGTAAAACCTAAAAAATACTTGACATCTGTATTGTTTTTAACCATCATAAAACTTGAGCTGCACACAATTATTATCCTGTGTACATGTCATTAGTTCAATCAAGCCCTTGCAATTGTAGCCAAACAATTAAAATTAAGCAAAAAGAGTGTGTAATAGTTATAAAAAGGTCTTTGGAGAATAATGCAAAACAACCCTATCACCATTACTTGTGCACTTCATGAAAAGTTAAAAATTATTCCTTTTAACTCTCAGTCTGTCTCAGGATTTAATATTGTCATCCATGATAATATATGAATGACTTGCATATAAATTCTATAACAGTGGTGAAATCCCTAAGGGACTTAATGAAAACTGGTAGATCTCCCTTGTCAATGTACAATATATAAGAGTCACTTAAAAATAATATTGATTTAATATGCTGGATCGCCTTTCCAGCATAGTATATATAATTATGGTATTTCTTTCATAATAGAAACAATTTCACTTTCCAATTTGTTGCATCAAGGGCAACTGAATCACAGCCAATTATCCTCAAGCTACTGATTTTCATGTAGCAGCTTTTCAATGCAAATCTGCTCATACAACACACAGTTGTAAACAAGAGTCTATTATAATATGTCTACATTTTCAGCAAAGCACACAATGGGAATGTTAACTTCAGAGACTCACAACTAATAGACTCACAACTAATTTCGTCAGTGTGGTATAATCATCAGCAAAGCTAATCACACTTTTTCATGCATCAGCAGATGCATGACAAATAGAACCAAGGAGGTGATAATTCCCCTCCATGTGGCATTGGTTAGACCGCAGTTGGAGTACTGCGTCGTTTTGGGCGCCGTACTTCAAGAAGGATGTTGATAGACTTGAGAGGGTCCAGAGGAGGGCCACTCTTATGGTTAGATAGAGGCTTACAGAACAAGCCCTATGAGGAGAGACTGAGGGACCTGGACCTCTTCAGTCTCCGCAACAGAAGGCTGAGAGGTAATCTTGTGGCCACCTACAAATTCATTAGGGGGATGCAGCAAGGGATTGGAGATGCTCTGTTCACCAGGGCACTTCTTGGGGTAACAAGGGACAATGGTCACAAACTGACAGAGAACAGATTTAGGCTACATATCAGGGAAAACTTCACCACGGTAAGGATGGTCAAAATTTGGAATGGGCTTCCAACGGAGGTGGTGCTCTCCCCTACCTTGGGGGTCTTTAAGAGAAGGTTGGATAGGCATCTGGCTGGGGTCATCTGACCCCAGCACCCTTTCCTGCCTAGGCAGGGAGTTGGACTCGATGATCTGTTGAGGTCCCTTCCAACCCTAGCATCTATGAATAGCTATCAGACTAACTGTTGTTTTCACCATGATGATAATTACACCCCCACCCCCAACCCCATCCCACCCCCAATTATTAGAAAATAAGAAATGGCCTAACTAAATTGCAAGTAAGACCTACTGGGTGTTTTTTTGACAAAAGCAGTTTTGTTAGAAAATGCCAACTTGTTGAAATGGAAGCACACATTTGCTATGAAAGAGAACACTGACGAACAGCCCAGTGGTTGGGGCACTTCCCTGGAATGTGGGAGACCCACGTTCGAGTGCCAGGTCTAAATCAGACTGAGGAGAGACTTGACCCTGAGTTTCCCACATCCTAGCACTATCCTATGCACTTAGCCATTGGCTATGGGGTGGGGAAAGGAAGAAGCTTCCTCTTGAAAAAAAAATGTTATTTATATTCCACTTGGGAAAGAACAAAAGAATTTTTGTTTTCCAGCCAACTCAAATAGTAAGTTCCTGCTGAAACTCTTTGCATCCTGAATTTGTGCTATTCACACCTTGTATGTAAATGCAACATGTACTATCATTCAGACTTCAGTAGTATAAAACTTAGCACAGCAGAGCCCAAAGTGGCCACTGGCTTTGGGTGTCTAATTTGAGAGTTCTTGGCCATTTTAATTATCTGCAGCGCTCCTTGATTTCAGCCGGTGTTTTGGATGCTTAGCACTACTGAAACAAACACATAAACCAACTGCTTCAGTTTTGAAAAACACCCATGTTTATGTTACAAGAATGAAGAACTGGGCAACTGAGCTGACAGGAAATATGTAGCTAGCTTTCACTTTTCCTTGCAGCCAGTTTAGACAGGTCTATTGTTTCACTCCATGTTGGAATCAATACACTCTTTTTTTAAAACTGATTTCAATTTTTTTCTTTTGGTTTGTACACTAATCCCTGCAGTTTTCCTTTCTACTCATGCATGGCCTGTTTATTTTCCTTTTTCACCCACCCTGTATACTAGTCCCATGATTTGCAGGATGGACTACCTTCATTAAAAATCTGACATTGCACTGAAGGGTAGTTCAGAATGATATCCTGCCCTTTGATAAAAATTAAATGCTTAAAGTCTTTCTGCACCATGTTTTTGTTTAGTTGCTCCTCTTGAGCTGCAAAAGGGGTCCGAGTCTCAGTACCATTCACATTAGTTTGCAATGTTAAAAATCATTGCCTCAAGCTGCTGTTTCAGTGGCTATAACAGTATTATTACCTCTAGTCCTTTAAAGTTAGTCCAGATGAGGGAAGTAAAGAGTTCAGGCAAATGAATGGCCAAGATCACTATCTGGCTTTTGTGGCTAATGTAGGTTGCTGTCTTAACTGAAGATAAAAACCTCATTCTATTGCAATCTCCACCCATCAAGTTGTACAACCTTCCTTTTAAAGCTGTGTGCTGCTTATTTCCAGGACTCTCTCTCCATTTTAGCTATGTACTACTAGAATCTAGATATCTAACTCCAAGCAATATTTTACCGAGCACACAGCTGCGAGACTGCCGTGGATACTGTAGTGATTTGATCTAGTCAAATGGATTTAAGGTGCACAAAAACTTTGGCAAACATGTGATAAAATTGCTTGATGAGTGTTAAATATGAATAAAGGGGGTTATTTCCGTCGGCACATCCATTATGTTCCAGATGTATATTGAGCATTCTAAATAACATTATACATTATTAATGCATTAAGTACACACCACAGGTTATGGGCCAGACAACTAGGAATTCCCCCGTTTCCTTCTTTCATTACTGGGCATTTCTAGCTCCTATGGTCCTGTAAGTACACCAGAATCACCCCTTGCTTTTTTTCCAGCAACTTTCTGGCCTTATTTTGTGAAGAAACACTTGAGGATGCAAAACCTATAGGCATGGAAACCAAACAAATAAAAGCACCTCCCCTGACTCCACGTTCTGAGGCCAGGAGCAGATCCAGGGGTGAATCCCCACTTTGATCCCTGCCCCACCTGAAGTTTTACACCAGCTGCTTGGCCATGGCAGCAGCATTTCTAGTCAGGCAGCAGTGAGGAAGGTCACTTGACTTCATGGCCCTTTATAATCTGCCTGATCCCTTCTAAACTCTTCCCCCTCCTCTTTTGTAATGGGCTTGAAAGTCCATCAGTCAGTATCCTCTGTTGCCCCATTCTGCTGCCTGTTCCCAGCTCCTGGTGCTGCCGCCCCTCTTTCACAGCCCTGCAGTTTGTGTTTAACTCATACCAGTTAATTTATAGTGGTTTTGGCTTCAATTTTAAACTGAAAACACAGCTTTAAATGCAGGCCGGGGGCCCCTAGCCTATTAGCAAAGCTTCTAGTCTATTCTTAACTGGAGGAAAACCTCGCGCTTCGTGCGTGATGTGGACCCCCCTCTCTAACATTTTGGATCCGCCCGTGCCCGGGGCATGTAAAGCGGTACGACGTGGTACAGCGCTACCCAAACCTCCCCAGTTCACTGTCAGTCAGCAGCGCGGGGCC